GCCTCAGCCTCAGCCTCAGCCTGCTTCAGCCTCAGCCTCAGTCTGCCTTCAGCCTCAGCCTCAGTGCCTCAGCCTGCCTCAGCCTCAGCCTGCCTCAGTATCAGCCTGCTTCAGCCTCAGCCTCAGCCTGCCTCAGCCTCAGCCTCAGCCTGCTTCAGCCTCAGCCTCAGTCTGCCTTCAGCCTCGGCCTCAGCCTCAGCCTGCCTCAGCGTCAGCCTGCATCAGCCTCAGCCTCAGCCTCAGCCTGCCTCAGCCTCAGCCTGCCTCAGCCTCAGCCTCAGCCTGCTTCAGCTTCAGCCTCAGTCTGCCTTCAGCCTCGGCCTCAGCCTCAGCCTGCCTCAGCCTCAGCCTGCATCAGCCTCAGCCTCAGCCTCAGCCTGCCTCAGCATCAGCCTGCCTCAGCCTCAGCCTCAGCCTGCCTCAGCCTCAGCCTCAGCCTGCTTCAGCCTCAGCCTCAGTCTGCCTTCAGCCTCGGCCTCAGCCTCAGCCTGCCTCAGCCTCAGCCTGCATCAGCCTCAGCCTCAGCCTCAGCCTGCCTCAGCATCAGCCTGCCTCAGCCTCAGCCTCAGCCTGCCTCAGCCTCAGCCTCAGCCTGCTTCAGCCTCAGCCTCAGTCTGCCTTCAGCCTCGGCCTCAGCCTCAGCCTGCCTCAGCCTCAGCCTGCCTCAGCCTCAACATCAGCCTGCCTCAGCATTCAAAATGTGGCCCGGGAATGGAGTTCTGGGAACTCGAAGAACACGAAGTGGCCTACAGTTGGCTCCGGGCATTCAAAATCATGCCCAGGAATGGAGTTCTGGGAACTCGAAGACCACGAAGTGGCCTACAGTTGGCTCCGGGCATTCAAAATCATGCCCAGGAATGGAGTTCTGGGAACTCGAAGACCACGAAGTGGCCTACAGTTGGCTCTGGGCATTCAAAATCTGGCCCGGGAATGGATTTCTGGGAACGAAGACCACGAAGTGGCCTACAGTTGGCTCCGGGCATTCAAAATCATGCCCAGGAATGGAGTTCTGGGAACTCGAAGACCACGAAGTGCGTTACTGTTGGCTAAAAAAAGAATCCCCGGATTCCCGCGGCACCCGTCCGGCATCCGTCCGGCATCTGCCCAGACCCCCCTGGGGAGTCATGATGCTCTCGTTTGACCCTACTAGAAACCTATCAGTTTTCGCTGTTAGGTAATCAGATCATGATGAGCCCAAGAGAATTTCACAGCTCGCTGGAATACAGAGGCCTCTCAGAGGCTTCTGATAACCTCTCCAGAGGCTCCTTTGAGGCTCCAGAGAAGCTCTTGAGTGGCTCCTCAAAAGCTTTGCATGGGGCTCCTCAGAAGCTCCTCGGGAGGCTTATTAGAGGCTCCTAAGAGGCTGCTCCTAGGCTCCTGAAAGGCTCTTTATCAGAGACTCCCGAAAGTCTTTCGATGCGCTCCTCAGAGGCACCTCGGCCTCGAGGGAAGCTCCTCGCCCCACTCGATAACCCAAAGACGCGTGTTGGCGTGGAGAGCGGCGCGGTATGGTCCGCCAGGGGCTCAAGCGTTATCGGCTGAGTTTAATGAGGTAAACGTGCACGGTGCTCCTACATTCCGCGGGACACCGGCCCAACCCCAGGACTGCTTGTGCTGTGTGCCCGCCAGTCGTTCTTGCGGGACTCTGGGCCCGAAGACGGCGCCTGGACGCCAGAACCGCGGAAACAGACGCTTCGTGCTTGCCTGAAGCTCCGACCCAACCTTGCGCACGCAGCTCGCGCCACGGTTTCCTGCCCTACGGGCAAGGGCCAAAGACGAGCCCCCAAAAGCAGAAGCTACCCGATCACAATCTCCGAAAACAGACAATTTCGGCCTCGGGTTTTCGGGCTTCCCTCGACGGCCAGTGCTGCGTATGGGTGCGGTGACCGCGAGAGTAGGACGACCACGTCCCGCGGGAGCGGCTGTGTTGGAGGTGTGGCGAGGACGGCTGAGATCAGCCGTCCTTGGTCCAAAGACCTGCCCGCAGCCCTGCCCCCCTTGCCTCGCCGCCGCAGCAAGCGCGCCGCCGCCGCCGCCGACCTGCGCGCTGCGCACTGCGACCTGCGCCGCCGCCCGGCGCCGCACTGCGCCACCCTGCGCCGCCGCCGTCGCGCCCTCGCCGCCGCAGCCGCCGCCGCCACCCCCGCCACCCCTGGGGCACCCGCGGGGAGCTTCAGCCGCAGGGTCAGCTCGCCGCCCTGGCGCGCGCGACCGCGCGCGCGCGAGCCGGCGCGCGCAGCCGGCTCCTGAAAACTCGGGTCAGCGGAGGGCAGACAGAAGGAATCGACCCCACGTGGCTCCCTGACCCGGATCAGCCAGAGGAGGTGGGATGATCCCCGTTGGCGCAGACAGACTCCTGTTACGTGAGCTCCGATAGGGGGTTATGGGAGCCGAATCCTGGTCCCAGGACGAGGTGAAGGGCCTTGCCTGGGTGGAAAAGCAAGCGAGCAGCGGCGAAAGAACCCCGCGGCTCTCGTGTCATACCGCGGCTCTCCGGCGTGGAGATGTTTCGGGCACCACCGGACGCCTCTCGGCGAGGCGCGGCTGCTGGAGAGAGCCCCGAGGATGGAAAATCGCCGAGAACCGACGGGAAGGTTCTAAAACCGCCAGCCTCTGACCTCGAAACTTCACCCCCCTGGGAACATCTAACCATGGACCTCTCATGGGGTGCGTTCTGCCCAGGACTTCGAGGCGCATCCAGGCGTGGACACGAGGGCTACCCAGGACGATCGAAAACATCTGGAAAGCAAACCCCGATCCTCGAACCTCAAAGCCCTCAAACTCAAAGCTTCCCCTCGAAAAAAAGTGGCGGCAAGCCGCGGCGCCGCCGCCGCCGCCGCCAGCATCCGCGGCAGGGGGCGGCGCGAGGACGGCAGAGGAGGCCTCGCGCACCGCGGCTGCGCGGGAGGCGTTCTCGGCAGACGCCCTGGCCACGGCTGCGGGAGGGGGCGAATCACCCTCCTCCTACTTCTCCTCCTCCTCCTCCTGTTTCTCCTCCTCCTCCTCCTCCGTTAGCCTCCTCCCCCTCATCATCCTTCTCCTCCGCCTCCTCCTCCTCCTCCTTCTCGCCCTCCTCCTCCTCCTCCTCCTCCACCTCCTCCTCCTCCTCTCCTCCCTCCTCTCCTCCTCTCCTCCTCCTCTCCTCCCTCCTCCTCCTCATGATCCTCCTTGCCCCTCCTTTCCCCTCTTTTTCCTCCTCCTGTCCTCCTCCTCCTGCTCCTCCTCCTCCTCCTCATCCCTCTCCTTCTCCGCCTCATCCTCCTCCTCCTCAGCAGCAGCAGCAGCATCCTCATCATCATCACCACCACCACAACCACCACCCACCCACCCACCACCACCACCATCCATCCATCATCATCATCATCATCATCATCATCATCATCATCATCATCATCACATCAGCATCATCATCATCATCATCATCATCATCATCATCATCATCATCATCATCCATCATCATCATCATCCTCATCCTCATCCTCATCCTCATCCTCATCCTCATCCTCATCATCATCATCATCATCCTCATCCTCATCCTCATCCTCATCATCATCATCATCATCATCATCATCATCATCATCATCATCGTGATCCTCCTCCTCGTCATCACCATTACCATCATCATAATCAGATTCATCATCATCACCACCACCACCATCATCATAATCATCATCATCATAATCATAATCAGCATCATCATCAGCATCGTCAGCATCAGCATCAGCATCAGGATCATAACCATCATCATCGTCAGCATCAACAGCATAATCAGCATCATCCATCATCACCACCACCTGAATCATGTTCATGCAAATGTTTACCATCAGCAGCAGCATCACCACCACCACCACCACGTCCATCCGAATGAACATCATCAACACCACCACCGCAAGCATCATCATCATCAGCATCATCATCAGCAGCAGCATTATCAAAATCAGCAGCAGCAGCAGCATCAGCATCAGCATCAGCATCCTCAGCATCAACAGCAACAGCAACAGCAACAGCAACAGGAGCATCGTCAGCATCAGCATACTGGTCATCATCATCATCATCAGCAGCAGCATCATCATCATCATCATCATCAGAATCAGCATCATCATCATCATCATCAGCATCATCAGCATCATCGTCATCATCATCATCAACATTAACATCAACAGCAGCAGCATCATCAGCCTTAGCAGCAGCATCATCACCGCCATCACCACAACCATCATCATCATCAACAACATCACCATCATCATCATCCTGCTAATTCTCCTCCTCCTCCTCCTCCTTATCATCATCATGATCACGATCATCATCATCATCATCATCATCATCATCATCAGCAGCAGCAGCATCCACATCATCATCATCAACGTCATCCTCATCGACATCGTCATCGCCATCGTCATCATTACCATTACAATCATCACCACCACCACCATCATTTCCATCAGTATCATCATCATCATCAGTATCGTCATCATCCTGCTCGTCCTCCTTCTCCTCCTCCTCCTCCTCATCATCATCATGATGGTCATCATCATCAGCATCAGCATCAACGTCATCCTCATCGTCATCGTCATCGTCATCGTCATCATCACCATCACGAACGTCACCACCACCACCATCATCATCATCATCATAATCACCATCGTCATCAGCATCCTCCGCACCAGCATCACCATCAGAACCATCATAACCATCATCTGTGTTTTGCTTAACACGGCCGCTGGTGCAATTCGCGCGCGTGCTGGAAACAAAACGAAACAGTGTTAGCTCATTATGGCCCCGAGGGCCAGGTATGTTCCGAGTAATCGCGCTATATGGATATCTGCCGACGCACTGTCAACTACGCAACAGCAAATGCTAGCAACAAGAGGAGGAGGGAGGGGCAGAAAGGAAGAAATACGCCCATGTGAACTACGACAGGTGCTGTAGGATGACGTCATGTGCCAAATCCAACGCTCTGGCTTCCCAATGAAATACAGAACTCTGCCCAGTGATCCCCTCGGCTTCGAGCCCGTAGCAACTGTACTGCACCCCGTCGACAGCATCCAACTGGGTGCCATAGAACGCCATACCAGTTGCAGCCATCTGGTGGCCCTCTATGTCCCAAGCTTCTCGCCGACCACCGCCCACACAAATTGTGAAAGCACCTCCAAAGCTCGCACGATCACGGATTTTCGAAGGGTGCAAAAGACATAGTCCGTTTTCGAGTCCATCGGAATACTCACTATGTAGACAACTGTCGTGTTGTAGTCTCTGGGAGATCACATCACGTATCACATCATGTACGAATATATGGCCCTCCGGGGCGTCCATCAAGCCGTGATAAGCGCTGTTTGAAGAGCGGCTCATCCTCATCATCATAACCATCATCATCAGCATCAGCATCAGCATTACCATCATCATCATCATCATCATCATCATCATCATCACCATCATCATCATCATCATCATCATCACCATCATCATCGTCATCGTCATCGTCATCGTCATCATCATCAGCTTCACCATCATCATTTCCATCAGTATCATCATCATCATCAGCATCATCATCATCATCGTCATCATCGTCATCATCATCATCATCATCATCATCATCATCATCGTCATCGTCATCATCGTCATCGTCATCATCAGCAGCAGGAGCAGAGGCAGCAGGGGCAGCATCACAATCATCATCAGCAGCAGCATCATCAGCATCGGCATCAGCATCAGCATCACCATGATCATGATCGTGATCATCATCATCACCATCATCATCATCATCGTCAGCGTCATCATCATCACCATCATCATCATCATCATCATCATCGTCATCACCATCATCAGCATTACTAGTTATCATTCCCATCATCATCACCACCACCACCATCATCACTTACCAGTACCATAAACATCATCACTATCATCAACATCATCATAATTATACAAATAATCAGCACCGTCATCATCAGCATCAGCATCAGCACCATCGACGTCATCACCATCATCAGTATGATGAGCATCATCGTCATCATCATCGTCATTATCATCAGCGGCAGCATCATCAACATCATCAACAAGTACATCATGATAATGATCGTCGTCGTCTTTCATCGCTCCTCCTGTCTCTGATCCTCCTGGTCATCCCCTCCTTCACCTCATTCCTCATTCCTCATTTCCCCCTCCTCCTTGATCCCTCCGTCCTCATGCCTCCTTCATTCTTCTCCTCCTTCTCCTCGTCATCACGCGTCGAGGCATCGTACTCATGTCTGTTCCGTAGCCATTTCAGGCGTCCAAATATGTGCGTAGTTCCCTTCGCCCGTTCCGAGACTTCTGCGGGGGGGCGAGAGATCCGCGGGGGCATATCCCAGCTGGCTCCTGGGTCTGAAGAAGGTAGCTGGCCTCAGTTTGACGACTGCCCCCGTCCTTGTGTCACTCCTTCTGGGCAACTCGCCTGGGCATCGTTTCTGGATGGGCTGGTGGGGACACGAGAGGCGTCACCAGCCAGAAGAATCAGAACAAGACATACGTAGCACCCCGCAGTCGCGGATAAGAGTGAGGAGGCGCGGGGACGTCGGCAGTCTGCAAGGCTCTGAAGAAGCCCGCCGCAGGCGCCGAATTCTTACAAATTATACAACGAGCCTTCCGCAAGCGACGATTATTCGGTAAAACAATGTGGGTGGGTCGCGGGTGGGGTCGCCGGTGGGTCGCGGGTGGTTCGTGGGTGGGTAGCGAGTGGGTCGTGGGCTGGGTCGCGGGTGGGTCGCGGGTGGGTCGCGGTGGGTCGCGGGTGGGTCGCTGGCGTGTCGCGGGGGGGTCGCGGGTGGGTCGCCGGTGGGTCGCGGGCTGGGTCGCGGGTGGATCGCGGATGGGTCGCGGGCGGATCGCGGGCTGGGTCGCGGGTGGGTCGCGGGACGGGTCACGGGGGGGGCGACACCAAACAACAACAGCAACAGCAACAGCAACAGCAACAACAACAACAGAACCAGCAACAAACAATTAACAACAAACAACAAACAACCGACATCAAACAAAAAACATCAGCAACAACAACCAACAACAACAACAATAACAACAACAACAACAACAACAACAACAACAACAACAACAACAACAACAACAACAGCAACAACAACACCACAAACAACATCAGCAACAGCACCAGCAACAGCATTAACAACGACACCACCAACAACAACAGCAATAACAACAGCAATAACAACGACGACAACTACAACCAACAACCAACAACCAACAACCAACAACAACAAACAACCATCAACCAACAACCAACAACGAATATCAACAATAATAACAACCAGCGCAACCAACAACAACAACAACAACAACAACAACAACAACAACAACAACAGCAACAGCAGCAGCAGCAACAACCACCACAGCCACCAATAACAACAACAACTACAACAACAGCAACAGCAACAACGAAAATAATCCGCATCGCGGAATCCAATTTCAGCCACGCGCCAAGGGACAGTGAATGACCGTTCGGCCCCCTCACTCTGACTTCATTCAGCGCGGGGTGGACGACGCGTCACAGTGTACACATCGAATGAGGAGGCTCGGCCCAAAAACGGCCCGCTTCTATCCATCAGGCGGTGGTATGCTGCGAAACCGCACGTGGGGCAGCCGTCGAGGGGGAAGAAGGGCACCTACCTGCGGTAGCAGAACAAGAGAAAAAGAAGCCTGCCGCCCCCTCCAGGGGGTCGCAGGACTTCGAAAAACCCGGCTGGCATGACCCATGCCAATCGCCATGTCTTTTGCTGTGTGTCTCTTCCCTCCTCAGTCTTGGAGGCGGCTCGGGGGTCTGAACTGCTTGGGATCTCAGAAGATCGACCAGGAGGGGAGGGGATGAGGCCAACCTCCGCTCGGAATCCACCCCCGGACCCATCCTGGGGCCCATCTGGCGCAGCTTCTCAACGGGGATCAGGCTTGATGGCCCCAGGGCCCGAAAACGGCCCCTGGAGGCCGAAGGAAGGAAAAACCCTGCGGCACCCAGAACCTGGAACCTGGCCGCCCTGGGGGGATAACCAATCCGTGTCCCCAATCCGTAGGCGTATGAGGACACCACGCAGCTCGCAGAGCTGCGGCGACCGTTGTGTGGCGGTCCCCACTTATGGTACGCAACACATGCAATTACGTAACTATGTAATGTATTCCCACATATATGTAGACTGTGTACCTGGAGAATAGAAGACACCAGCCCAAAGAAGAGAACCTGACCGCCCTTCCTGCTGACCAGAACCAGGGCTGGGTCACCTCAAACCCCCAGACGGCTCCAGCTCCAGTCCTGCCTCGAATCGACTGGGAGGCCCGAAGCGACCAAAGAAGCCGCCCACGGGTGGTGTGCCTCGGCCCCCTGGCCGCCCTGGAGGACGAGAGGCAACCACGAGAGCCCAAGGCCTTCAGGATTGGCCCCCTGGAGGCCCCGAAGAGCGCCTCGACCGCCCAAGACCGGCGAAGCCTCCTCCTCCTCCTCCCCCTCCTCCTCCTCCTCCTCCTCTCTCCTCTCCTCCTCCTCCTCCCCCCTCCTCCTCCTCCCTCCCCCCTCCTCCTCCTCCTCCTCCTCCTCCTCCTCCTCCTCCTCCTCCTCCTCCCCAGGGCCTCCCGCCGTGGCCCCAAGGTGCATCTAAGATGGATCGGGCAGGCCCCAAGACGCCCATTTGAAGATCTGGTAGGAGCTTATAGTATACAGGAGGGCAGGTGGAACTTGAGCCAAACACCCCCGACATGGCATGTCATTTCAAAGGGGCCCAGAAGTAACATTACAGTTCTGCTGCACTGCATCTCCTGCCAGGCACAGAGGCCTAAGAATTAACTTCTCTCCCACCACCTCCTCCTCCTCCTCCTGAACGAAGTGGCTCTTCTGCTCATTGCTACGATTGTTGCTACTCCTACTGTTGCAGACATCATCCACTGCCACTCCCACTCGGCTCCCTCCTACGACCACTGCACCTACTACCACAACTAATTCCACCATTAGCCCTACTGATTCTACGGAATATCTCTACGAATGCTAATGCTACTGCTCCTGCTACTATCACCCCTTTCCCGCCATCCTTCTTCTTATCCTCTCCTTCCTTGCCACCCTCCCCAACCCCGAGTAAACGCCTTGCTCCCTTGACCCGCCCGACGACGATGACGACGACGACGGAGACAACGACGACGACAACCTTCTACGAGAACGACGACGAGCTACGACGACGAAGACCGACCAGGACGACCAACGACCGACGACCACGAGCACGACGACACAGACGACAACGACGACGACGACGACGACGACGACGACGACGACGACGACGACGACGAGCCACGGCGACGACAGCACTCCCCAAGCGTCCTCACGTTCGGCGGCGGCCCCGGAGGCGGCGGCGGTGCAACGCCGGAGCCTGACAGGGGCGCGCCGCGGGTGGGGAGGGGAGGGGGTGGAGGGACAGGGGGGAGGGAGGGAGGGAGGAGGGGCGGGGAAGATAGGGGGAAAACAAACCTACCTCGCTTTTGACCACCCTCGCTTCCAGGAGATACCAAACGATGCCAAACTACGGCCTGTACTGGTCAGGCCGCTTGACGAGGAGGCGCGTGGTATGACTTGGTTTCGCCTGGAAGCGAAAGCGGGGTAGGTAATTCACGCTCCGAGAAGAGGAGGGATGGGGAGGAAGAACAGAACGAAACAGACGCGCCCATCGGCCGGAGGCCGTAGGGACGCGCGGCGGAGCCTCTGCTCCGGTCCTTCGCTTTCAGGATGTGGATATCTTCGCTCTGGTCCTTCGCTCTCTGGATGTCAGGCGGGGGGGAGGAGGGAGAGGAGGGGGAGGGGGGAAGGGGGGAGAAGAGTGCACGTCCTCTCCTGCTCTTCCTACACCTCCTTCTCCCCCTTCCCTTCGCCATCCTCCTCCTTCGCCTCCTCCTCATCATCCTCCTCCCCTCTCTGCGGGGGGGCGGTCGGCGGTTGGTTTAGGCTATGATGCCTACGTCACCTTTTGGGTGGTCTGGAGACTCAAACTCTGGTCTGTCAGGTCGATCCTAGGGCGAGGTCGTATCACCGTCGAAGACGAGCCCCGTGAGGCGTTTGTTGTTATTGTTGTTGTTGTCCTCCTCCTCCTCCTCCTCCTCTTCCTCCTCCTCCTCCTCCTCTTCCTCCTCCTCCTCCTCCTCCTCCTCCTCTTCCTCGTCTGTCACGTTCTGTGCTTCGCTGCGGTGTTCGTAGTTCGTTGGTGTCGTGAAGAAGGAGGCGGGGGGAGGCAGAACAACGAAAAGCTATACAAACAAGCGTTGGGAGGTCCGCGGAGACTTCTTGGGTCGGCGCTGGACCCCCTGGCGGCGACACATGAAACGCCGCAAGTCAGTGTCGCGCTTCACGCCCCATGAGAGGGGGGCTCGGGTGCCCAGCCAAGGAATGCGCGCCAACCTCCGAAAAGCTTGTATGTCTACATCGTGTTTGCTACTCCGAGAACAGGAGCAAGAGGAGGAAGAGCAGGAAGAGAAAGAGGACGTGGAGAGGAAGGAGTACTCCATGTTGTGAGCTGCATCATGTATATCCTGGGAGGCCCTCGCCGCTGCGACCCGATTCACTTCAAATCCTTCTCAGAACGTGCCCCGGGGAGCAGGATGAGGAGGAGGAGGAGGAGGAGGGGAGGACAAGCTAGGTGCGCTAGCGTCACATCTGACGTCCTACCCCTCCCTCCCATCCCTTACCATAGCGTCGATATCCTATGGATTCGCACAGTCGGATGCCGAGCTAAGCAATGGTCCCAAGAGTGTACGCGATGGATGGAAAAGCATGGCGTAGAAGAGCACGGAAGAGCATAGCATGTCAGAGCATGGCGTGACATTGCATAGTGAAGCATTGCATCACAAAACATAGCAACGCAAAGCATGTCGGGAGAACCGAAACGCGGGAATGAGGCCAGGACCGACGGAAATGAGACCAACCCTGCAGCGGGGCAGCAGGAGCACGATTTAGAAGGGCTGGAGCGCGGGAACGAGGCCAGGACCGAAACCGGGAATGAGGCCACCGCTGCAGCGAGAACACGATTTGAAGGACCGCAGCACTGGAACGAGGCCAGCGTTACAGCGACATCGCTACTTGGAAGGACCGAGCACGCCAGTGCTGCCGCGGGAATACGATTTGGAACAACCCGAGGCGCAGGAACAAGGCCAGCGCTGCAGCGGGAGCACGATGTTGAATGACCGAAGCGCGGAAATGAGAGCGGCGCTGCAGCGGGAGCACCATTTTGGAAGAACTGGAAACAACCCGATTGAACAAAAAAACACCAGAAAGACCTAATGAGATCCTGTGCCAAAAAACATACGCGGAGAGGACGGGACACTCTCCGGGCAGAGACAGGGGAGAGAGAAGAGTAGAAACATATTGTGTAATAGAGGAGGAGGCGGAAGAGAAAGGGGGAGAAAGAGCATCCCCCAGAAAGAAAGGAAAAAGCGGGAGGAGGGAGACGGACTTCACCCAGAAAGAGGAAAGGAGGAGGATTGAGAAGTGCAAAGAGAAGCAAGAGGAGGTGGAGAGGAGGAGGATGGATGATGAGGGCGTCATCTGCGAGCAGGACGAGGAGGAGCAGGAGAAGAGAGGAGAAAGGCAGATTTGAGGCGATTCCTCTTACAGCCGCCTTCTTTTCCTTCGGGGAATGGTTTACCCATGCTCAATATTAAGGAACATTCCCTCTTCCATCAATCGACCAGCGGCCGGCCAGGAACCATGCCAACCCCCCACCTCCCCCACACCAACCCCGTCAAAAAACAATGCAACCACAAATTTGCGGCAATCATGCACGAGGCTAGGGGGGCCAGCATAGTGCCTGGTGTGTGCAGGCCCACTATCCCTGTCAAGAACAATGCAACATACCCGTTGCAGCAAAATGCTGGACCATGAGCTGGAGCTCCGCGATAACTTTATATAATTGTTTTGACAGGGGTAGTGAAGGTGTCAGCACATTATCGCGTGCGCGTGATCCCACAACCCCTGTCAGAAAGCACATGCCAAGTGATTGTGGGTGCACACACACACACCATACCCCATCAGGGCCACCTCGCTGCCACTTCGCATTGGCTTTTGACAGAGATGGTGGGGGTCGACATGTGTTCCGGTCTGTGCGGTCACGTGTACTGGCGCACCTGGTACTGAGACTGGGATGCCACTTATGTGTGGGAAGGGCGGGTGGGAGTGAGCGAGACGGCTTCTGGCCGTAGCTTGACCCCTCCCCCCATCCTCTGCCCTGGGTCTAAACGGAACGCCCCGCCAAGCGTTAGAGACTCCAAGATGGCCCAAGACAGCTCCAGCACGGCGAACTAATGCGGGTAGACGATTCCAGGAAAAGAATCCTCCCCCGCCCCGGGTGGTGGAGGGAGTCGTAGTGCACAGGGTATACAAATAAAATGTTGGTCAGCGTGGAGGCCAAACAGTGGTCTCTAGCACAGCAGGTGATGTAGTATACGCGGTGCAAGCTATGAGGTGCAAGTAATGAGGTGCAAGCTATGTGGTGTCAGCGATGTAGTGTAAGCTATGTGATGCCATTTACGTGGTGCAATCCGCCACCGTGCCGCTGGGCACTGAATGGGCGTGTCCTCAGGTCCTTGGCCACACCCGCTAAGCCTCGATCCTCGCTCCTGAGGAGTCTTTAAGGGCCCAGACCCCTCGCTCTCAATTCTCTTGGGGCTTCCCCTGGCTCTCCTGGGCTCTCCAGAGAGTCCCCGCATGAACATTTGGGGCCCAAGAGGGCCCCACGAGGGCCCACGTTCGCTCCAAGACGCTCAAGATAGCCCCCAGACGGCCCACGAGGCCTCCAAGACGCCCAAAGAGGCATCCAAGAGGCCTCCCAAGAGGGCCCCAGGACCAAAATCATTGATTTTCCGCAGGGTTTCCGAAGGACTGTGACATGCTCGCCTGTTCAGTTTCCCAACACTCCCAGACAGCCCTAGAGGCCCCCAAGACCGCCCCAAGACGGCCCAAGAGGCTTTCAAGAGGGCCCCAAGCCGGCCCAAGAGGGCCCCAAGACAGCCCAAGAGTCGCCCAAAACGGCCCCAGAGGGGCCCCAAGACGGCCCCCAAAGGGCCCAAAAGAGGGAGCACGAACCAAAAATCTGAATCTTCTGCCCCACGAGGCCCCCAGACCCCAAGAGGCAGCAGGCCACAAGAGGAGGCCAAAAAGAGGCCAAAAAGAGGCCCAAGAGGCCCTCAAACATTCCCCAACAGGCGTCCAAACTGCCTCCAAGAGAGCCCCGAGACGCCCCCCACGAGATCCCAACAACCATCAAATAGGCTTCTTACCCACATCCCAGGCACGGTGGCGGGATGGGCCGAAGGCCATTTGATCCGCCGCCCCCTGCTTGCAGGGGTGCACGGCGTGCTGGATGATTCAGGTTTTGGTTTTGGTTCTTTTTCTAAAAGAACTCCCCAGTGGGCTCCGGCAGAACCCGCCGGCCACCCGGAATTTCCCCAAACGTGCTCAACGACCGCAAAAAATCCTCCAAGAACGGCCGTTTCGCTCGGGAAATCCTCAAAAAATTGCGAAAATGGCCCAAGATGGCCTCCAAGTCCGCCCGAGATGGTCCAAGACGGCCTCCAAGACGGCCCAAGAGAGTCCAAGACGGCCCAAGACGGCCCAAGAGGCCCCCCAGAGGCCTCCCAGACGGCCCCTCCAAGAGGTCCTCCAGGAGAGTCCGAAGAAGCCAAAATCATTGATTTTCCCTTGGTTTTTTAAGGATTTTGGCATTTCCGCCTTTTCGGCTCTCCGACGGCTCAAGAAGTCCCCAAGATCGCCCAAGAGGCCCCCAAGAGAGCCCCCTGATGGCCCAAGTGGTCTCCAAGATGGCCCCTAGAGGGCCCCAAGAGGGCCCAAGAGGCCTCCAACACGCCCAAGATGGCCTCCAAGACGCCCAAGATGGCCTCCAAGACGGCCCTGGAGCGCCCCAAGAGGGTCCCCCGTTGGCCCAGAAAGGCCCCCAAAACGGCTCCCGACGGCGTCAGACGTGCCAGGAACCCACCAAGATGGCCGAAGTTGGCTCGAAGCTGGCCCAAAAGGGCCCAAGAGGCCCCCAAGAGGGCCTCCAGGAAGGCCAAAAGATGCCAAAATCACTGATTTTCCCAAGGTTTTTGATGGATTTGGGCATTTCCCTTTTTTCGGCCTTCCGACGGCCCGAGACGGCCCAAGAGCCCCCAAAGATCGCCGAAAGATCGCCCAAGAGGCCTCCAAGACGGCGACGATGACCATCAAGACGCCCACGTGTTCCCCGAAGGCTTTCCAAACCGATTCGGGGAACACATGGTCCGATGGCTTGGCAGGTCTGGCCTCAACGTTCGGCCACATAGGCGCTTCCAAAAAGGCAGGGGGCGGCGGTGATTCGCCGTAGGCGTCTTCGATCCGCCGCCGCCTATC